ATCTGCCTGCATGGCCGGATTGTACAGGATCAGCATGCAGCACCCTGAACAGTTTGAATTTCACTTAACGCGGTGAAGCTTTGAAGGTGCACGGATCCCCCCTTATAGAGCATCCAACGCGATTCGCTGAGCCTAGACCGGCCCTTGAGCCTCTTCTACAACCGCCCCATCTGCTCGTGAATGCCTTCCACCATCCTAACCTCAATTCCTCATTTTGCGCTAGGCGCAGCAATCAAGACCTTGGATCGCCGGACGCACCAGCCAGCAGAGGTCGCGCGCGCTTCGGGTCACGGAACTCGTGAGCTTGAAATTCAGCAGGTGAGCGCTGAGCGTGGAGAATGAGCTTAAACTCGGGAAGTCGCGTGGAGAGATTGGAAGCCGGAAGCCGCCGCTCAACGGACTGAGGGACTCGCGACTGGCTTGTCAGGCTCACCACGTCTGTGTGGACTAGCGTTAGCCTCGCTTCCGACTATTCGTGCTCCCAGCCAGCCCTTTCTTGCAACCCTGCTTCATCGCAAGGCCTGGAGTACAAGAGCAGATCGACGTCTTGCTGAGCCCGCTCAGCCGCTGATCATCTCGGTGCATCGAGCGGGCCTATTCCCCAATTGTTTGGCTTCTCGACCACTATCAGCTTCGAACTGACTCCATTGCTTCATCCATTCCGGCGATTAAGCGAGCTGCGCAAGCCAAGCAATGGAGTGAAAGACTGCAAAGGCACACCTTTTCGCTATGACAATTATACCCGAACAAGGCAAGAGTGGTACAGGTGAAACGCGCTCAAGAGTACAAGAGGAGGGCACATCGGGCGAAGAGTTCAGCAGCAGCAGAGACCATCCCGCCGGTTCTCCTTGCTTACCACCTGCACCAACCTACACACCTACTTCGACTCCATCCTCTCACTCCGGCTCGTCAGGCAACGCACAGGACGGGGCTTCTTTCAGGATGTCTGATTCGCAAGCTGCGCCGAGCTCAGCAGCCTCCTCGGGAACGGCTGAGTGGACGCACGCAGAGGCTCCTGCCCAAGCTATCCCAAGCGAGATTGTTACCCCTTCTATCCACAATGATGACGAGTCAACCGCCCCTGCTTCACCTCCAGGCTACACGCCTTCACTCTCTCCTCCACCTTCACACGCCGAGTCTCTGCGGGATCTAGCTCTCTCCATTCCCGACAGTGATCCAGTCGTCGGCGCGGCTCGTCAAGGCGCATCTGCTCGTCCAGATCTCGAAAATGTGCCCGAGTACAGCGCAACGATTCAAGACGACCAGGACGAGGAACAACGCCAGCAAGTGCAAGCAGCAAGTGCTGACTGGATGGGCTTGCTGGGTCTTAGCGGTCAAGGCATCAACGCTGCTAATTCTGCAACTAGTGTCGGGTTCATGGCTGCTCGCTACGGTACCTCTTTCGGCCTTGCCTTGGCCAAACGCATTACCCAGGCTGTCGTTGCCTTGCCTGCCTTTGCCATCGATGCTGGGATGGGCAACACGCCCACCCTTCCTCGCGATGGTGCAGGCGCTGACGGCTTCGGCACCACAGCGGCACAGACTGCGCATGCGGCGGTAGGAGGACTATTTGATGTGATCAGCACACTGGCACTCGGAGGCATCGACATCGGTGGCGCTCTGACAGGAGCAGGTCTTGGTGCGTTGGGATCCTCCATCGAAGGTGTCAGGAGAATGCTAGGTAGCGAAGTGCTGCGGTCCTTGGCTGCGTTCAACAGATTGGTGAAGAGGGAATGGAACTCTCAATGTGATACTCTACCACCGGGTGGCATTCCCCATTACTCTACCCTTATGGTGACGCAAGCCATCACTACATGGGTCTGCATTCAGCTCGTCACCCGCGAACATTACGAAGCCAGGATGCTGCGCGAGCTGGTGGAGGTGGACTTTGAAGCTCTGAACGCCGAGCACGAAGCGCAAAAGGCTGCGGATGCCGTGAACGCTGAGCGAGCGGCGCTGGCACCAGGAGCCACTGCTCCTACAGCTCCAGGACAAAGACAGGCTTCTGTGCGCATCGTAGCAGAAGACACGCTCCCCGGCGACGATGGTGCCATCGTCGCAGCAGAAATCGGCCACTCCGCACCCACCTCTCCTTTCCAGCACGAGCCAACTGCGCCGGGAGAGCGAGGCGCCACTCTGGCCCCGACTTCTGACTCTTTGCCGGTCCCGCTGACTCAGCACGAGGCGCTTCAAGGGCTGCGCAGGTATTCGAAGCTTGTGTTAGGCGTGTATGGCGGCACCGCCCTTGCCTACATGGGAAGCTTGCCCACTGATCTGTTTCAGAGTTCGTCCGAAGGTGCAGCGGGTGCTGGTCCCTCGACATCCTCAGATCAAAACGGTGTGGGAGTCGCCGCAGCTGCGGCGGTCGCCGATGCGGCCGGAACTGGCGACGCACCTCTCCTGGGTCCGGATGCGCCGCCAGCGCGCTCAAACCAAGAGGATAGAGTGGACTTCCTCAGAGCAGCGATGAGGATGGACTTGGAAGATGAAGAGCTCGATCCTTCAGACAGGGAAGCCGCAGAGCAGGAAAGACTTGCCCTGATCAGCTCGGCTCAGCCACCAGTCAGCACCCTGTTCACAGACGAGCCAGAAGATGTCATGCCCGGAGCTTTTGGTGCATCTCCTGCTCAGCCTGCACCCAGCGCCGCCGCGCCAATCATCGCCTCCCCTACACAAGAGATCACCTCACCGGTCCGACAAGCGAGCGGCGTAAGCTACGTCGACGTGCTTTCGGGCAGACACGACGCAGACCTTTTCCATCGTCTCGGAGGCTTGCCAGAAGGTGCAGCTGTGGAGGGAACCTATGCAGACGTCGACGTGGACAGCAGCACAGCGGAGGGCTCAACATCTGGTGCTCGGGCCGCTTTAAGAGCAGCTGCCGCTTCGAACTCGAGGAGACGCACCAAGGTGGCCCTTCCTTCTCAGCCTCGGTACTACGTCGTTTTAGATCATCCTGCGAAACGCGTCATTCTCGTCCTACGAGGTTCCCTCAGTCTCGGTGACATTGCTATCGACCTCACCTGTGAGAGCGCGCCCTTCGAGTGGCGCCCTGATCACGATGGTCCGCAGTCTGCCAGCTTCAACGCAACGCCTGATGTTTCCGCTATGTCGCCCCACACCACGAGCGAGGCCTTCCCGCTTGACCGCAAAGACCCACTGGATTTCGAGTCCGACAATGGCGCCAGGATCCTCTCTGATGAAGAGCTCGACTCGCGTAGTCGCGATTTGGTACATGAAGGAATGATGGAGACGGCACACGACATCGGAGATGTGGGCCGACCTGTTCATCGAGCGGTCGCCAGAGCCCTGCGCAAACATCCAGAGTATTCTCTGGATATCACCGGTCACAGTCTCGGTGCTGGTGTCGCTGCGCTGCTGGCACTTCTTTGGGCTAGCCCCAAGACTTGTCTGACCATTCCCTCTTCGGGTCTGCCGCCCGGACGGCGCGTGCATGCTTTCGCATTTGCAACACCAGCTAGCATGAGTGCCCCACTGGGACGCAAGTGCGCTTCGCTCATCACCAGCTTCGCCTACTCGTACGATCTGGTATGCCGGCTCAGCCTCGGAAGTATCCAGGACATTAGAAATGCTGCTGCGTGGCTTTGTTACGAAGACAAACAGAGCCAACTCGCTCAACAAAGGCTGCGTCAGCAAGCGCGAGCGATCAACGTTGCTCCAACTAGCGGTGTATCCGCTGCTGACACAGAAGACGTCGACATGGGCGGCTCGACCCCTACTGCGTCACCTGCAGACTTGCCCGCCGCTGCTGCACCTCTGCGGATGACGGACATCATCACACAGACTTTCCAGCACCAGACCGGAAGATTGGATCGAGACCTGACACGGAAGGCAGATGTCGAGGCGTCAATGTTGGCACTTCGGAAGACGCTCGAAGCCAGCATGCAACACGTCGAGCTCTACCCTCCAGGCAACGTCCTCTACGCCGTCAAGCCCGGAGACTTGACCACGTACCCCACTTCGGCTCAGTCTTCCGACTATTCGGGAAGAGCGAACAGCTTCCCCAGCAAGCTGTACCATCTCAAGGCCGATGGTAAGAGGGAGAAAGTCTGGGACCAGATCATCTTCTCTAGGACCATGCTCAGTTGTCACTTGCCTCACGAGTATGATGCTGTCCTGCATCAGTACCCTTTCCACACTTGAGCAATGAAATTCCAATCTTCCAAAGCCCACTCATTCGCACTCGCAATTCGCGCAGCTGAACGCCTTTCTGAGATAGCAAATCCCAGTAATCACGCCTGAACACCATATTCATGATAGGCTTGAAGTTTGTTCTTCTTGCTAATGGTCATCGCAGACCGCCAGGTTTTCGGAAAGTACTGCAGAAAAATCGTGGAAGAGCGAGTGGTTGCCCTCTGGTCGTCGAAAAAGTACATCGATTCGCGAGATTTCACGTGTTGTCATCGAAAAGCCGATCTCGCATCGCCTGGCGCTAGGTGGCGTTTTATCGCCTAAAGTGCGTGCATCTGAGAGCGCTCTCAAGCCAAGCTCCAAGGCTCATGAAGCTTCCGCGGCAGCTTCGTCTTGTTTGGTCTCTGCGGCAGGGTCTTCAGAGTCATTCGTGGGCTCATCTTTGGCAGCCGCTGCACCTCCAGCGCTCCCATTCGAAACTCTTGGCGCACCTCCTCCTCCTCCAGCCATTACGTCTCCCCATTTTTGGCACAGCGCCTGTGCTCGTCCAGCGAAGTTAAATTCGTCGTTTTTGGGAATATCGGTGAGCAGCGCAATGCGCTTCATCACCTTGCCGATCTTCGTCTCCCTCAGCTGCTCCTCAGTAATGTCCGTGTAGCTCTCAACTGATTTGAAAGTCTTGTCAAAGTTTGGCGTCTCCTTCAGGTAGGCAAGAGTGGACAGGTCAGTGTGGCCTCGCGAGTTTCTACGCAAATCCCTAATTACTCACATCTTCCTTGATGATGCCGTCCTTGGGCAAGAAGCCTCGCTGCAAAGCGTGTCGCCATCCGTACACCATCTTTGTCTCGGGATCTGCAAGGAAGCATTCGCAAGTGTAGCGAGGTACGCCGAGGATGAGCACCGGTATTTATAAACGCCGAGGTACCACGCTCGAGTGTTTCCTTATTTATCTCTGGGTAGCCGAAGTCTAAGGACCCAGGAGCCACTCCGGCAGAGGCATAGCCAAGCTCTCGGGAAGCCTGATGACCCTCGCTCACCTTGTGCGACGCTTTCCTCATCACCAGCAGCACTCTTTCGAGCACTGGCAGCCCTTTCTTTCTCATCCTAATCGCAGGTAAGATTCGAGCGTGCGGGTTCACGTGAGCGCGTGGAGAAAGCAGGTGGGACAGGGGTCCTCGAAAACACTCTTTGCCCTACTCACATCTCCCTTCTTCTGCTTCTTTGCCTTGGATTCTGCAGACTCGCGAATCTTTCCTCCTTTCTTTTCTTCCCGCTTCCTCTTATCCTTACCGCCACGCTTGGCGGTGATGGTGTCGTCATCTTCATCCTCCGCCAGCTCATCCTGGCCCTCAGCAAATTCTAAAGCTGCTTCTTCCGCATTTTTGACAATGACATTCTGCTCGTCGTTCCAGTCGCTGGGGTCCTGCGCAATCAGGAAAGCTTGACGAAGATCTGCCTTTGCTCTCGAGGGCTCATCCAAAAAAGCCTTGATCTCCTTGGGCGTAAGGTGGTTCATCTCGTAGCCTTTGAACCAATTGCTGTGGGGTGCCAAATTAGGCGATTCAATCGATGGTCAGTAGAGACCGCGATTCAGATGAGTGGCTCAGACCGATATCACTGTCGCGTGCACTCCTGTGGTCGTGGTGCCATCACTCACTAGTCGGCTTGAGGGAAGAAGCGCACAGTGTACACGCCTTTGCCTGGCTTCTGCTTATTAACTGAAGTGGGCACATTCTTTTCATCGACAACCTGGTTATCAGAGACAAAGGTCAACATGAAAGATTCAAAGCAAATGCTGAAATGAGGGCTCCGGCAACAAGGTGTGTCCAAGCTCCAAATCAGGTCGACATGACCTGACCTTACCTGAGGCACGGCGCGCAACCAGCGAGATGCACCTGCAGAAGCCTTTCATTGAAAACGACACCCTGCATCTAAGTTCTGCGCTCGAGGTACGAGAATAGCGCACAATGCCGGGACGCGAGGTTGCAGGCGACTCTGAACATCGAATGCTAGCCCCACGCGCAAGCTTGCGACTTTGTCGCTGCAGCACGCCAAGGGTAAAACAACGCTAGGCTGTCCAGAAAGCCATGGGGCATTTAAACCTTTGCGTCCTCTTGCTGCACGGACCGCGCACCTGTGATTGTGCCTACCCGAGGATGCGACGTGATTCTACTCACAATGCCAGGCCATGGCGGATACCCCTTCACCTTGGCCATTACGACATCGCCCGCATTGCTGATGGAGCAGAATTCCGGAAGTCGCAATCAGGAAAAGAGCGTAAGGCGAAGCAGCGCGAAAGCGCGAGAGGATAATTGTCAGCCATCATCGTGGTGGCGAATAGGTGAGGAAGGAAAGGTCTAGTCAGCACACCAACGTTGCGATGCTGTGGACAGCTGGCCTCGCGCGAGACCGCACGTGTAAGGACTGGTGCGCCACCCACAAGGTCTTATCCTCCCTTGGCTTCGAGGAGGGCATGGTCATGAATATTGATCGGGCGCTTGAGGAGGAATGTCTGAAGGTGGTACGTTGAAGGGTTAGCCAACTGGCGACTTTTGATGGTGCGCCAAGTCCCGGAGACCTTGTGTGTGACCAGCTTCCGAACGCCTCGTGTTAAGCCTTTGGCAACAGTCTAAGAACAGTCAGCCCCCTTAGTAAGCTCAACGAAGGTGACGAGACGATGAGCTTCCTTTGTAGTATTGTCTTGATGTTGATGGTGGTGGTGGTGTTGTTGATGGTGGTACTTGTGATGCTTGCCGTCGCAAAGTAGCAGACGCGGGGCTCAACGATGCCGCACGCGTCAAAGCCATGCGCAGCTCTTGTCACGAGATGGGCGCGATCGAACAGGCAAATCAATCTTGAATCAATCACCCTCTGCTCGCCCCTGCCCTCCGCCCTCCGGCCCCCCATGCCGCTCGCTTGATTGTGCTTGCTGGTGCGACGCTCCAAACCTCGGCGTTGCGCGCAACGCGGCACTCACGCACGCAACAGCAGCAGCAGCACTTCAGCGCAAACGCTCACGTCCCGCCCGTGCGCGGGAGTCCACAGTCACGATCCAGTGCGTTCGCTTCCCCCTTCCCTCACGCGACGCGATCGATCGCGTTGCCGCTCAGCACACGCAAGAAGAACCGCCCAAGGTAGGGGCAGCTCACTCGGCCGAGTAGCGCGGATGCAGATCACGTGACACTACGTCTGAAATGCCTGCCCACCTGACCTTATTTGGCAAGCGCATGGTGACGCGCGACACACGCCAAACTCAAGACTCTCCTGCGAACAGGCAGGTTCAAATTTGACTTTTGAAGGCTCGTGGCTACAACAGAGTGACGGATAGGAATTGAATGCCTCTCTGCAACCAGCATCCTTGCCCAATCGATCCTCGACACGTGCCGCAACTGACCAAGGAACCGGAGTTGTACACCACGACGCTCAGTGCGCAGACCAGCCACGAAACACGCACACACCAGCTGGACAAGTAAGGGCATCATCTCGCTACCCAGAACGGTGTACAAAGCACGACTTGCGTGCGTGCAGACGTCTCCGTCCCAGCGAACCCCCAGCCCTTCGACCGTTTTGGAAGAGTCGAGATGGCGAAGAGCAAGATAGAGAAGGCCAAGGGCGATCAGCCCAAAAAGGTCGCCGTCGATAAGGTGAGTGCGGCAGCAATGGATGCACTTATTATGAGCGACAATCACACCTGACGCGGGAACGTTACGCGAACACCCATGCCCACGTATCTTTAGACCTTTGGCATGAAGAACAAAAAGGGAGCCAAAGGCCAGCAGCAAGTCAAGGTCTTGCAGCAGCAGCAGGCAATGGCCGGCAAGACGCCTGCGGAGTTGGCTGCTCAGAGGAAGAGGGAGGAAGACAAAAGGGCAAAAGCCGAAGCCGAAAAGCTGCGTAAGAAGGAGATGGAGAACATTCTGATTATCCAGCCCAAAGTGCCCTTTGGTGTCGGTGAGTTGGGGCATAGAGAAGGGGAACGCTCGCACAGCGCATCAAGAACAGCACGGCAATAGCTGCACCGCTCACACGATCCGCCACACACCGCTACAGATCCAAAGACTGTCACCTGCGAATTCTGGAAGCACGGCAAATGCGACAAATCAGCGAACAGGTGCAAATTTGCTCACGAACACAACGCGAACAGAAAGGTCGAGAAGAAGGATCTGTACACCGATATGAGAGAGGGTGACGAAGATGCCAAAAAGTCAGGTGCGTTTCGCAGGCGCATTGAGCGCACCCGGCCACCTTCAAAACTTGGATGAGCACGGAGACTCACTCGTTGCTTTCATTGCCTGTAGACACCATGGACAAGTGGGACGAGGCCAAGTTGCAGCAGGTAGTTCTCTCCAAGCACGGCAATCCAAAATCGGTGAGTCCAGAAGTGCACACAGGACCGGATCTTGAGCGCAATCGCAGATGGACTGGAGAATCACTCAATTTGTTGGCCTTTTTCATGTCCAGACGACGGACAAGGTGTGTAAATATTTCCTCACTGCTGTTGAGGACGGCAAGTACGGATGGTTTTGGTGAGTTGTTTGCTGGCCTTGGCTCTTTGTTTCAGCGTGAATTAGCTCTTAGGCGATAGCCCTTTGACTCTCAGGGTGTGCCCCAATGGCGGAGATAATTGCATGTACAGACACGCATTGCCGCCAGGATTTGTACTCAAATCGCAACGCAAAGCCATGGAAGAGGAGGAGAAGGCAAACGAGATTTCGCTAGAGGACTTTTTGGAAAGTGCCAGGCACAAGTTGGGAGCCGGCAAAGGCACGCCAGTCACCGAAGAGAGTTTCAAGGTGTGGAAGCAGAGGAGGACAGATGCTAAACAGGCTCAGGAAGACACAGAGAAGGCCAAGAAGGCTCAGCAAGCTGCTGCAAATAAGTGAGTTGTGGTCTTGGCTCGTCACTCGAGCACAAGCATCGCTGACATTGGCGCATCGACTTTTACAGAATGGCCGGTCTCACTGGAAGAGAAATGTGGACCTTGAATGCAGAGCTGCTGGGCCAGGATGATGATGATGGCGATGA